ACCTGTGTGATGATGGCGCTCACAAGGACTCGTCTCAGCCATCAGTTCATACGCCAGGAGTCACTCATCCATTCACCTCCGACAGCAGCAGTGGAATATGCTGTCAAATAGAAAAGGATACCGACAAAATTGAGGTGAGGACAATTCTATTGCTACATTACATTTTATACCCCATAGTGTTACAACAGGATTCCATCACATTTGACTGCACAGTTACAATGGAGCAGGCTTATGCATATGAAAAGCCAGTCGGCCAAAAGACCTGTAGTTTTCAATGCCTCATCTCCTCCAAGATATTTACCTCTGTACACGCTATATTTTTCAATAAGGTAAACAAATACGGTGCCCCACATTCATTTATGTTGATGAACAAGGGAACATTTCCTATTAATACGACATGTTCTATTCCTGAGGACTTGCAGTTCAGGGTTCACCTTTTTAACTTAGAGAATGTGCTCAATCTACAAACAGAAAGACTCAAAGCACAAATGGAGAAGTTGCGATTTTTAGCTAATTCAAAACAACTTCAAACTAACCATCAAGACCATAAGCTCATTAGGAATATGTTATAAATAATAAAGGTAATAAGAAGTGTCATTTTATAATAGACCTTTATAGAAGCAGACTTCTTTTCGCTGATTATGAGAAAGAACGCAGGATTAAGACTTGCGCTTCACTTTGAATACCCTAAGGTTGCTACTTGATCAATAGGCTGAATACAGACTGAACTGTTTAAAGTCTATGATTCCTCTGATCAATGTTTATTGAGTACCTGCAACCAAAAAGTGACATGTATTTTTTTCATGGCTAACTGCAGGGACATTTTGTTTACCAGAAACGTAATGTGAGAATACCTTCAGGTGTTACACGTGGAAACCTGCGATTGGCTGACAACTACTTAAAAACATACCAATGCCTAACATGTTGTCATGTGTGTTCATTGTATTACATTCAATTGCAGTACAGTAAAGAAATGACAAACAAGGTTTGAGTTCATTTAGAAAAAGTGTAACAATTAAAAGACCAAGAAATATTATAGGCAGAGATATCACAAATAACACATTTGCATTTAAGGGGCTTTACAATAGAACCGACAAGAAACAACTCCACTAAGTAATCTCAAAACCACAAATGCATGTTTTTTACATTTCTGTTTGTGTACAGATTGAGCAGTCTGATACAAAAGGTGAATCAGTTAGTTTGAGAAGTCTTGGTAGTTGTATTTAATGTTTTAGACAGAACCAGGCTAACGGTTTCCCCCTGCTCCCAGTCTGTATGCCAGCCTAATAACGTCCTGACTCCAGCTGTGTAACTTCAGCTGCATCCACATCATACGCCTTTTGCTTTTTGCTCACGGTGGGCCTTACGGTAAAAGTTATGTTTTGTTACCATGGTCACGTCCACTGGTTCTGATGCTAAATACAGCTGTCATCTGATTGGTCCAGACTAATATCTCAACAAATATTGGATGGATTATTATGCAGATGTTTTGTGAAGAATAACTTGTTGATCCGCCGACTCATTTGATTAGGTTTGGAACCAAAAGGTCCTCAAACACTGTGACATTCCCATCAACCTCATCTGTACCTTGTGTTTGGTGCTAAGTAAGAAATATCTCATTACAAAAAGATGCTGATCCTTTAACATTATTGCTAAACATCCGCATTTTTTATTTTGAGCATGCTGACAAAGCGTCTATGCCCAAGAACCGCTGTTGTAGAGACGCTAATATAACTTGTATTCTTCTTTTATGTATTGTTTGAATTGAAAGAGTTTATTTTTCTTCTCACAGTGCTCTGTGAGTCCTGCTACAAGTTGGACATCTACGCTGGCAGCGGAATCCTGTAAAATGGCCGATCCTCTGCTGAGACACATGTTTGGAATAACAGCCGATGTGAAAATTAGCCTGCCGAGAATTGACAAAGACTCGTCTGCAAAACTTCTACTGAGTGAGTCCATAAAGTCGGTGGAGGATAATCAGGAACAAGCGAGCGGGTTGCAACAGGAAGATGTTTCTTTACAGGACCTTTACAGTCTACAAGACAGTAACAGCTGCAATGGCACCGTCAATGTCCCAACAGGGAAAGTACTGAAAACTGAACCAGAGGATTCTGACAGTCCAACTCCTCTCTATGCGTTTTACTATTCAGGTAGCACTCTGGACAAGGGAACATCATGTCATATTAAAAGTGAGCCAGAATGTGGATATGTGGAACCCATAGATGAAGATTTCCTCAGCACAGATGAAAGCAACATCCCCAACTCACGGGACATCGCTGGCCGGCCACAGACTCCGACTTGTGTGGATCCAAACACAAACACGGGGAGAATGGGAAGAAAAAGGAAGCGCACGATGTGTCCTTGTTGCGTCCCTGCGGGGGGGCACGGTGCAAGGTCCCAAGAAGAGCCCAAGAAGTGGGCATGGGAGACGGCGCAGACGAGTAGAAAAGGGGGAAGAACCAAATTTGCTAAAAAAGTTGGGAAAACATCTGGAAAGATCAACTGTCAAAAAGTGAAGGAGTGTAAGGCTGCTGAGGGTCTAGTGAGTGACAGTGAGACCACTGTCACTGAAGTAGTCAAACTACACGAACAGATCCAAAGACTCAAAGAGCTTCTGCACGAGAAAGAGGACGCTTTAAAACTGATGACAAGCAGCGTGGGCGGGGATCCAACAATTTGAACTCTAATATTCTAGGAAACGTTTTTTATTATTAGAATAGAATATGTTGTTCTCCCATTTATGTTTGTTGGAGTTAGCAACTGTAAAAGCACATCTAATGTGAGAAATTGATAAATGAATAAGAAATGCTTTAGTAAACACTGTCAGTATGGACTTTATAGTTGGTAACTAAAAAGCTATTTGCTTACTCATTAAGTAAAAAAAAAAATGCTTAAATGTAATATTTCCTAAATGGACTAATACATTATTAATATGTTATAAGGGAACTTGTACAAATAAATGACCTTGTTGAAGTGACTCATGTGAACACTTAATCCATGAATGTTTGGATGGAGTTACAGTTTGACTTGTGTTTTTAGCAGCATTTGGGGTGAGGTTATCCTGGTCAGCAGGATTCAGGTGTTGCAGCAGCACGAGGACCAAAGTAATCACTGAAAGAGAAGGGACATTTATTGGAAATATATAAGATTAAAGGAAATAGAAACTATATAAGACTAATTTAATTTGGAGTAACAAGGCAAGCATTGTATCTATCAATCTACTGTTAACATTTCAAGTGGTGGAAAAGTACTCCTTTAATTGTGTAAAAGTAGAAATACTATGTTCTTGAAATATACTCAATGTATACTTTGTGTAATAAAAGTACTCAGAATGGCTCTTTTTTCTTTTCTTTTTTTAAAACAATATTTCAGAATATTTGTTTATAAGCAGTAGCAAAAACATGTCCAATTATTTGGAAGTTGTAGTGTGTAAATGTTGAGCCATTTGTAGAAAACAAATGTAGAGTAAAAGTACAATTGTCTCAAAAGTGTAATGGAATATAAGAATATGTAGCATTAAATGAGTAAATGCACTTTGTTACATTCCAGCAATGGTTATCAAAATACAATGAATTGTTCTTCAACTCAAAGTGAAAACAAAATCAAATGCTCCTTCGCAGCCTTTTGCAATATTATGAGATTACTTGAGAATACTCTTTCCAAACCAGAAGTAAGACTTAAAGCTTTAAAGACCTCCAGAATAAAAAATATATAATTGAAGTACTATAGCTTCAGTACTTCAATTATTTCATAATGACATACCCAGTAATGGATTGTGTAACTGGTTCCAAAGAAAATATGAAAATGTTATGCCACATGTCTCTTGTTAGCTGTAATTGCTGCAAACAACTAGGCAGTCGGAGCTGTGTGTAATTTAACGGTATTTCCTCTTTGTTATTGGACAGCCACTAAGTCAATACCATAGACCAGTGGTTCTCAAATGGGGGTACGTGGAACCCCAGGGGTACGTTGGAGTACTGCAGGGGGTACGTGAGATTTATTTTATGTTAATGGCAAACATTAATGCATTTACACAAACTACTAATAGTAGATTAACTACTTTATTCAGTTTACAGTAATTCTGGATAATAAAATGGGGAAAATAAACGTCTTTTCCTCTCCCTCTCCTGACAGCCCGTCAGTCTCGTGCAGCTCGCTGAACCTGTAATAAGTGACCCGACAGTAAAGAATAAATATATGTATAACTAGTTTAGCTAGTTCCAGAGTAGATGAACTAGCTAAGTGTGTTAGTTCTAACTCTTAGTGTATTTAACTTTGCTCCACTCAACGGTCCGTCACAGCGGGAGAGCTGTGATCATGCAGAGATGCGTGCTTATATATTTGTTTCTCTTCATTCCCCACGCCCCAAAATAGATAAATAAATAAATATACCAATTTTAGGAAAAGTAAGGAAGTTTGAGCAGTGTGGGTTTTATATTAACAGAGTTACACATATTTCAAAACGCGTACCTGCAGTTTGCCTCCCTGTCAGAATGACAAAGGAAGCACAAGCCCATGGTTCTCACTAAATTGTAAGTACAACTTATTAAAAAGATCAGTTCAATGCAACTAATGTCGTCTTAGTTTTATTGCATGTTAAAATTGGTTTGCCATGAATTTAGTGATGGATTGTAAACATTTTAAATGTAGCATTTAAGTGTTTCTCAGTTACAATGTTGTTTTAATAAATCAGACACCGATGGTGCAGCGCTGTACTGTACCTCTTTATATGGCATATTTCCCCTAACAAATAGTCTTTGCGCTGATCAGGGGGTACTTGGCTGAATATTTGGTGTGGTCACATCACCTGGCTATCATAACATCAACTGTAGAATGAGTAGTTTATATAATTAGGTCTTTACATCTGTTTAATTGTTGCTGACTTTATATATGGGCCAATGTGAAGGACAACATTGTTTGTTTTAGTACATTAGGCTATAGGCCTATATTTTTGCATATTTGTGTGCTCCGAACAAGTTTTTTTAGACGGTTCGTTTATGTGACGCTTTTGTTCTGAAGATCACGACCCGGAAGTTGTAGTTTTTTCCAGAAAGTAAAACTGCAACTGAACGTCTCTCAAGCTGGATCCGCTCACCCATAAAGGTATGAGCAAAAATATAGGACCTTTCCTATTCAGATACCGTAACAATTGATGTGTTGCATTAATTTGTTCACTGTCGAAGATATTGTTTGTTAAACTGACGTGGTAATCTTCGGTAACAATGGCGATAACTCCAATGGCGTTAACCTGTATTCAACGCATGTCGAAACTCCAAACCCCTCTAGCTTTTCACGAACCTTCTGTTTGAAAGTCTGAGCTGTTAAAGGTTATAAACGTATACAACGACCAGGGCTTTGTTAGCCTTCAGTCGTTCACTTCATTATTTTCTAGATAGAGAAAAACAATTAGGCTAACTGTTTTAATTCAAAACCGGAAGCCATATAAACCATTTGGCGAGCTCCAGTTTAATAAGGACGTGGTTCTTTTCAGGTGTGCCAGTTTACAAGACAGGATGACCAACTTGTATACCGAATTACATGCAAGTGTACTAGTTAAAGTCATGAATGTAAAAGGTTAAAGTAGACGCCGCGCTGACAGTTTCCTGTATTTATGTTGTTTTTTCCATTGTTCCTTTAAAAAATCCGTCGGCATGTCAAAGTGAAAAGTTCCAGATATTGACCCATTATTTGACCTTTTGGTTAAAAAAAAGCTAATATTGAACAAACTCTTCACAAGCCACATGTATAATACTGTATATTATGAAACTAAAATGTATTATTTAATTCGGAAAATAACCTGTCAAGGCCTGGCTGCTAAATCCTAAGAACTGTTACAGGATTTGTATTTTGAAAAGTATTTTTTTAATTTATTATATCATAACTTAGTACTTTTTTTTAACATATGTAACATTAAGCTGTCTGTGGCTCTTTCCTGCTGTAACGATGCACATTTCCCCTCTGTGGGACTAATAAAGGGATTCTGATTCTGATCAAAGCTGCAAGTTATGGTTAGTCTACCATGTAAAACCTAACATCGACTTCTCCAACAAACAGCCATGTTTGTTAGCTTTGTAATGTTATATAAATACATTAACTTGTGCACATTTAGAAGAAAGGGAAAACCGGTAGGCTACTTGTGGGTTATCTGTTGCAACGTACCATTTATCTTGTTTGAGAAAGTTTTGATTGTATACTGCTGTTTCTGTGGAGATTGCTACAGTGTAAGTCAATCATTTCTTAAATACTGAGTGCTACATGTAACTTCTGAGGCCTACAGGGTTTCTGTCTGGTATTGATTAAAAAAAAAAAAAAAGACCAAACGCTGAATTATGGGTCGGAAATTGTAATGTAAATGTTGGAAACAGGTTGCAAAGCTGTAGAAAAGCATGGTTCTCAAGACGCATAGTTTTTCTTAGAAAAAAAGCAAGATTTCAAACCCATGCCACTGTTATTTTGACACAGGGAAATACAGAGCATGGATCACCTTAAAAAACTGGAAATCTACATCCCATTGGAAGCTGAGGTGAAAAGCATCCCTCTGTCAAGCTTACCAAACAGCGTGATTAGACGAATGGGCCTCCCCTCAGACCCCAGGCCTCTCTCAGACTCTCCAGAAGGCATATGGATCCATCCAGCAGTCATACGGAGGAAAGGCCAGAAACTCACCACCGCCACAGGAAACGGTGAAAACATGACTTCACTGCTGGGCAAAGAGATCCGGGGTGATCCGGGTCCGTTCGAAATGTCCTTTGTCTCCGCCAACCTCACAGCTTACCGGCTGCTGAGGGACAACATGCCTGGGGAAAGCATCTCCGCAGACACAGCACACGCCCACCCATTACCTCAGGGCTCAGCTCCACAGATGTACAAGGATGCTGTTGTCATCTTCCACGGACGCGTTTACCTCTCCAGCAGGAATCACAGTCGAAAACGGAGACGTCAAGGGAAACATGAACCACAGCCAGCCTCCCAGGCTTCCATTCCTAAAAATAAGGTAACTTGACATCAGTTAGTGATGACATTCAATTCACACCGACAAACACATAACAACAATTAATTACATGGCAGGTTATTTGACACAATTTAGGTTTTAGAGCACCTGGTTATGGCCCCTAGACCCATCTAAGAAACTGGTGCAAATTTGTCACGTCACTATAACTCTGAGTACCACAATCAGAATTAAGTTTCCCTCGTACACAAGAAAACATCAAAATGTATTTGAGAGTTTCAAATCACTTTGTTTGTTCATTTACCACAGAGGATTTCAATTACTCCTCTAGCTCCCTCCGCAGGACCATTTTTGTATTTGTATCTCCTCTTATTTAGGCTCTCCGAAAAGCTGAATCATCAGTATGTTGCTCGTTCCGTTCTAAAACAAATGTATTTGCAATTCATGTTTCGACCTTAACCTATACTAGAGGAACCTTCTACATTAATGATGCCTATCTTTGAACTTGCTTATAAAGATGATAGAAGGCATATTTTTGTCTGTATAAAGTTTTAAAGCGGAACATTTAGTTGCAGTAATATTGATCTAAGATGTTGTATGTCCTCCTGCAGCGCCGGTCTCCCCAGGCTTCTCTTGAACAGGCTAATAAAGAACTACAGGGAAATACATCCTGTTTCATTCGGCCACAAAAATCTCCAAAACAGCAGGAGGATGTTCTCACAAATACAGATAATCATCCCACCACAGACCAGGTGAGTAATATAATAATCAAACCATCAAAAAAGTACTTTTATTGGTATAGTTATTTACAATGAAACAAAAAGTATGAGCTATTCAACAATAAGGTTAAATAAAGTGAATGAAAAATGCCTTCATGTTAATGGCAAATCGTGCCAGCTCTCTGCAAACCCTTCCATTACAGTTCAAACCGGAGAGACGTGATGTAAGAATTACATATTTATTGTTTACACGTCATATGAATGAAATGATTGCCACGATAATACAACAGGAGAATGTAATGGTGTTTGAAGATTAGGCCCCGGTTTGCAGGATAATCATTCAGGAGGGAAAGAACCGCTCCGATGAAATCCCCGGGGTCTAGACACTGGTGGGGGTGATGAGTAGGTGAGACCGGTCTGAAGAAGGAAGGTTTAGCTTTGTCCTGAAGGAGACGGGAGGCGTGAGGGGTGGAGGCGTGTGATCATCTGCAATGACAACTGACAGGGAGGAAGAGCAGGCATTTAAGGAATTTAGCATGTGCAGCGATTGGCTGCTGAGCTTTCATTTCAACTGAATTTTAACTTGCATTATTACTTCGCAAGATTTTAGGTGGATCAGATTGAAATGTATGCAAGGAAATACAGAAAGAAACGCACAAAATGAAAAATAAACGAGCAATTTCAGAGGTTCTCAGGGAAATAAAGCTTGTTGAAGAAAATACACTTTATATAAATATTTGAGGGTTCACAGTATGTCTAGTAACTATGTAACCAAGGTGGAGCATGTCAAAAGAGGAAAGAAAATGGCCCAAGCTTTGAGCCATGGCCTAGATCAGGGGTGCCCAACCTTTTTTTAACCGAGAGCTACTTTTAAAGTTGCCAGTCTGCTGAGATCTACCAGTCCAAATAGAGAGGCGTAGCCATTACTTCCAGGTAAATACACACGTCTACTTGTATAAAACTGACCTTTGTACGATTAATACTTCATAAAATACTGTAGATCCTTTATCTTACCTCTTTCTAATCTACACACATACAAGTATTCAACTGAAGTTACACAATTGTTGTTGATACAGAGTTGGAGTTTATTCAAACGTCACTACAGTGGGTAATGTTTTCAAGAAACATTGAACAGTGCTGCCACATATGACACAGGACAAAAAGAAAATACTCTGAACCCTTTCTTTGCCATTATATAAAAATAGTGTTGCTACAAAAGTATAAATTAGGCTTACTAATAAGACAACTCAGATCTGAAGCTACACAGGAATCTGCTGCCAAAGTGCAATTTAAAAAAAGATAAAATTAATAGAATCAAACCCTTTTTTTGTTGCATTTTAGTAGATTATAAAAATAAATGCCTTTAAAATAGGATGCAAGCAACACTAGTTTCTTAACCTGAATTGAAAATAGACTATAATACATTTAAGTTTGCATTCTTATACCATTTTGTACAATAATTATAATGAATGAGTTCAAACAAATTAAAACTTACAGCTGATTAATAACGGTATCTAGCTTGAGTTTTTATTATACAGTATCAAAAACCTGTTGAAATGCTGCTGTTATTTTTACTGTCCCCCAAAAGCGCGTCAAAACGCGTCCAGGAATGCTTCTTTCACAACTTCGCCGTCTTTGAAAGACTTCATGTGTTTCGCAAGAACGTGACTGACACGATAAGATGCTATGGTAGCAGCCTTGCTCTTGTTGTTGGGCCTGGTGAAAATGGACTGCTGTGCATTTAGCTGTCCTTTCAGGCCCCTCCCCTTTTGGGAGCGTAGGGCAGAATTAGGAGGGAAATCCGTCTCGTAGCGTTTGTGCACTGTTTTGAAATGCCGCTCCTAAATTACCCTTCTTCGATAAAGCCACGCTCGCATTGCAGATGAGACAGATGGACTTTGAATTGGAATAGATACAAACATAATCATCCTCCCACTCGGAGTGAAAATTATATATTTTGGGCTTTTTTGCTTCTGCCATAATTGCGGTCTTGTGTGTGTGCGGACTGTCACTCCTGTTCACACGGACAACCTCAGCGAAATAGTGCCCACTGCCCAACAGCCACGCCCAGACACATGGGGTCACGCCGGCCAATCACAAAGCTTTGATGCGTTCAAGTGCATTATTCTGGCACAGGAAGATTATGTTATAGGACATTAACGATAAAACAGAATATTGTTGTTCTATTTTTAGACGTCGATCGCGATCGACTGGTTGGGCACCCCTGGCCTAGATGCTGCAATAACATCAGGGTCCGTGTACTTTTTATCAGTTTGAATTTTCGTTTAAACCAAAAGCCAAAAACCGGATATAGTTTTTCGCACATGGGGTACACCATTAGCCATTTTGTAGAAAAGGACATTGAGCTGCCTTGTTCCTCAGATAGATCTCTGCCAGAGAAACAGGGTTAGAACCACTGTGAGTAAAATGTTGATATGTGTAAACTTAATCTACTCACTGACAATATAGAAACCAGCGACGTGCAGTCAGGGGAGGCAGAGCCTCACCTGTCATACTCCAATGTAACGGAAAAACAACTAAAGAAAAACTAAATAGTAATAATAATAAAATGTCTCCACTGATCTGTTTTGTAAGTGTGATTTCTGTTTGATTCCAATCACTTTTTATAGTCAAAATCAGCAAATTTGCCGAGCTCCGCTACAACTACGGGGAGCAATGAGAAGTGAGGCAGGGACGAGCTCTGCCTCACGTAAGCCCACAGTAACTGGCTGGAGCGCGGGCACTAATTTAATGCGGGCACTTATTTTTTGAGCGCGCTCAAGCCAGTTACTGTGGGGTGAGGTGAGGCACAGATGAGCTCTGCCTTGATTGATTGATTGATTGCAAAGTTTATTAACAGCTTGTATATTGGGTACAGTACAGTACAGCTCAAAACATACAATTGTTAAGGGGATGCAGACCAGAGAAAGACTTTCGTCTTGTTTACATCAGGGTCCCCCATTTCCAATTCATCATATCATTTAAGACATATAAGACATATTTGACATACAGATGGCTTATTTACAATTTACATACAGATGGTTTTTTACATACAGATTGCTTATTTACAATTTTCATTTTAGATTTTGTTCTAATACATCCTAACCGGACATTTAAGACATACCAAGTCTACAGATATACAGTTAGTAACAGAGTCTAAAATGCGAGTATATACATAGATGGGGGGGGGGGGGAAGCTGTCCATTGAACGACAGGTTGAGATTTGTACCATTACCGGGGCCAGTTTTGCAATGCTCTCCCCTGAAGGTGCTCTTTAAGAGAGGTTTTGAAGGTAAGTATAGTTTTACTTTCCTTTACAGTTGTGGGAAGAGCGTTCCACCTTGATGTGGCATAATTGCGAAACGTGTATTCCCCTTTTTTTGTGCCAAATCTGGGTTTCACATGATTTGTGGAGCTCCCTCTACCTCACCTCAGAATGCGTCACCCCACAGAAACTGGCTGGAAAGCAGGCCCTAAGCGCATGCCTGCACCATCTCACTGTATGTCACCAATGTAATGTTTGTAGATCCCTTTATTACATTTATCCTTGCCATCCATAGTCTCTAAATAACTTATTTCACGTATAGATATTTAGGCTCGCTGGTCTCATCATACAACAGCAATGAAAAAAGCACCAGGGGAGGCAGCCATAACCTCTGCCGTACTGAAGGGGGCGCACGTGAGCCCACAGGTTCTTGTTGTTACGGTTATTCTACGCATAGACGGTAGACGCAAACAACAAACTAGACTTTTGAAACTAGAGGAAGATAAGAAGGACTTTTACAAAAAAGTAATAGAGATTGTTGTCCAGAAGGATAGCATGGACTTCATCTTCAAGTCAAGGTAAGACCACCATTGTAATAAAAATGGGATCTTACTGTTAGGGATTAATTTTGTCTTTACTCCTTAGACATTTAACCTTATTTTGTGTGTTCACATGTACGACCATCCCTGCTTCTAATCTCCCGTAAGGAATCTGTTGATGCAGTCGTATGTTGATACTAGGTTTTACAGTTTGACCTACAGGGCATAGGGAGGTTTTGCGAGTGTGAGAACGCTAGCTTCTAAGCTCCAGAGATGGGAGAGACATCTCCTGTATCTGCAGATGTGTTTACGCCATGGTTTACGCCCATCCCCAATATGTGGATTTGACTCTCTGTAAACTAGTTAAAAGGTCTACCAAGATGCGAGGCTGATCAGATTTGACATGGCAAACCACTCGTGCAGTCAGAACCTTTGACTGTGTGACTTGTGATGTGAATTTCTCCAGCCGATGCTTGTATTAAATATCAGTGTTTGACATCAGAACTCCTGCTCGTCCCGTGTCTCCTTCATGAGTCGGTGACCCCCACTGCATTGCTACACAGAAGTTTCCTCCATATTTACTAAGAAAGAACAATCCAATATTTAGATTTTGGGTATCCTTTTGTTGAAAGGTCTGTTTAAAATGAATCGAAACATCGGACCAAAAAAGCTTTTGAAAATAACCGAATATTTCGATTAAGGTGAAAATATAATATTTGTAAATCTGGCACTGACTGAAAGAGTCAGTGCCTCACCAGCCACGAACCTCACCGCACGTCACTGATAGAAACATAACAAAAAGGACTTGGCTCTCAATCAACAACGACCTCATTGAAATGTGTCGTACGTCTACAGTTTGGCAGTTGTACCTTATGTTATAGTCCTCTGTATCAACTGTGGATTTTTGGTTTCAAGTACCTGTACTAAGAAACCTGACAAGTGCACACAAACCTTATGTGATTCCACTTTGTATTTCCTTCAGGAGCTGCTCCACGAAGAGAAGAAGAAAAGCACCACATGTAAAGTAACACAGAGTAAAAACAAGAAGAACAGTGATGTATCTTCATCCAAAACTGCACATTCAGTCCTTCAGTCCTCTGCCGTTGTGCACAAAGTGGACAATCCTTCTCATGGGGACACTGCAGCAGACCCAGGGCCGTCCTGGCTTCAGCCTGAGTGTGAGACACAGGACCTGGGCAATGAAGAATCCCACTGTTTACAATTGGACAGCAACGCTAACAACATGGCTGCTACTGAAGAGCAAAGTAGGGAGTTTGATCTGTTGGCTAAAGAGGAAGAGATCTCTCTGTTGCAGGCTAAACTCAGACGGCTCTCAAAAACCAGCCCTCCCCTTTCTGAGTGATGAATGAACGGTATTTACTCTCAACAGTAAATGTGCATTAGTAACAGGGAAATCAATAATATGATTAAACCAGGATTCTAGTGTGCATGTAAACATACTTGATGGCAAGATGTTTTGAAAGAGGTTTTTGGGGATCTTTTGCTTCTTAAGGCCAATGTGTATAACTATTTTGATTTGATTTGATCCATTATATGACTGTCTTTTAGACAAACCCACTATTTTGTACTGGGACGCATCTTTTTCTCAACCCCATTTTTATTTTCACTATTCATGGACCTTTTTTTTCCAAAAGCCTGGATATAGTTTATCATCTGGTGAGCGATCTGGTGTATCTCAACCAAGAGACTCCATGTCCTTAGAAACCTTATATAAATGTCTATAAAAAAAGTCATATTGTATTGAACCTGTTGTTGAGTTGGCTTAAATCAATCTCTTACATTTGGCTCATGTTCCTCTGATGGAATGTTATTTAATTTGAAATGTGTTTGACTTTTGAAGTTGTGTGAGTGACTGAAATGAAAACTAATGCAAAATGTTTCTGTTTATTTTTTAAAGCTGCGTTTATAGAGCTGTGTACTTTATTTAGAGAAGCATTCTGCAGATTCTCTCCCAGATGATCTCGCAAATACATTTGACTGTCTCTGGTGCCTTTAAATGAGATTGCATCTTTTTATAAAACAGTTTCAGTTTTATTTTTGCGTAATAACTGTAATCGTAAACTCACATGACTTTATTATTTGATCAGTCTTGGTTGACATAATGAGCTCACCACAGACTGCATTTGGTAGCTGTTTTGGAGCTTTACATTGCATTTGAAGAACTTCTCGCCCATGATGGCGGATCTCCAGTTTGCAACAATATGAAATATGTTGTATTTCTGCCATAACTGCATCAATACTGTTTTTATGACACAGTAACAAAGTATAACACGGAAAATGTGATTCAAAAAATAAATAGTCACAATAACATCCCTAATATGGGCTTAACAGGTCTCCACTGGCACAGTCCTGTTGATGTTTTTGACTTATGAATTCAGATGTAGCTGCTGTTGGCCTAGCATTAGCCGCAGTCTGATTGCTAGCCTATTAATTCATATGTAAACCCTAACCCTCTGTCTACCACCTGTCCTCTGGACCCTATCCCTTCAAACCTCCTTCAGACTATCGCTCCTGATATTCTACCGTTTCTCACCCATTTCATCAACACTTCTCTAACTTCTGGTCACTTACCAAACAGTCTCAAGGAGGCAAGAGTAAACCCTCTCCTAAAGAAACCCACTCTCAACCCGTCTGATGTTATAAACTACAGGCCTGTCTCTCTCCTCCCGTTCCTGTCTAAATCACTTGAACGCGCTGTCTTTAAACAACTCTCCTGTTATCTCCATCAGAACAACCTTCTGGATCCGCACCAGTCTGGTTTCAAGGCAGGTCACCCAACAAAAACTGCTCTCATTGCTGTCACTGAGGAACTGCACACTGCCAAAACTGCATCCCTCTCCTCTGTCATCATCCTGTTGGACCTGTCTGCTGCATTTGACACGGTGAACCATCAGATCCTCCTTCACACTCTCCAAGAACTTGGAGTTTCAGGCTCTGCACTTTCCCTCCTCACCTCATACCTCAAAGACCGTACCTACAGGGTAACTTGGAGAGGGTCCGAGTCCGACCCTTGTCAATTAACTACAGGGGTCCCTCAGGGCTCTGTTCTTTGTCCCCTCCTCTTCTCCCTGTACACAAACTCGCTCGGATCAGTCATTAGCCCGCATGGTTTTTCATACCACTGCTACGCTGACGACACCCAATTAATTCTGTTCTTTCCCCGCTCAGAGACCCAGGTCGTCGCACGCATCTCTGCTTGTCTAGCTGACATCTCTCAGTGGATGTCTGATCATCACCTCAAGCTCAACCTTGACAAGACTGAGCTGCTCTTCCTCCCGGGAAAAGATTGTCCAACTCTTGACCTGACAATCAACATCGGCACCTCAGTTGTTTCCCCGACTCAGACTGCAAGGAATCTGGGTGTGATCCTAGATAACAACCTGTCCTTCACTGCAAACATCGCTGCTACAACCCGTTGCTGCAGATACACGCTTTACAACATCAGGAAGATACGTCCCCAGCTGACTCGGAAAGCCACACAGGTTCTGGTCCAGGTTCTCGTCACCTCACGCCTAGACTACTGCAACTCCCTCCTGGCTGGTCTACCTGCATGTGCCATCCGACCTCTGCAGCTCATCCAGAATGCAGCGGCTCGTCTGGTCTTCAACCTTCCTAAATTCTCCCACACCACTCCGCTCCTCCGCTCCCTTCACTGGCTTCCGGTAACTGCTAGAATCCACTTCAAGACACTGGTACTTGCGTACCATGCTGCGAATGGATCTGGCCCTTCCTACATCCAGGACATGGTTAAACTGTACACCCCAGCGCGTGCACTACGCTCTGCATCAGCCAAACGACTCGCTCCACCCTCGCTGCGAGGGGGACCCAAGTTCCCATCAGCAAAAACACGTGGGTTTGCTATCCTGGCTCCAAAATGGTGGAATGAGCTCCCCATTGACATCAGGACAGCAGAAAGCCTGCACATCTTCCGGCGCAGACTGAAAACTCATCTCTTTCGACTCCACTTCGAGCGATAGAATTAGTAACAAAGAACTGCTAACAGAGCACTTATATACTAATAAAGGACTGGCTTATCTAAAGCCAGTTGAGTAGCACTTGAAATGTTTTGGCTCTATGAAACCTGATGTACTTTATGATTCTGTTTTCTTCAAGGTTGTGTCTTCCTGGTCGAATGTACTTATTGTAAGTCGCTTTGGATAAAAGCGTCAGCTAAATGCAATGTAATGTAATACTGATCAACACACCGGCCAGAGTGTAGTGGCCCGGCAGAGAATGGAAGTTTGGACACATTTGTTTCTTTGTTTTGTCTATTTGCATGTTTGTGTCATGCTCTCAGGACCACCATACATACTTCACTTGTTGTATCCTATTCAGAATGGATAGGACCAAACATTTCAACTCATTGATAGAAATGAGGTGAACAAAAAAATTGAAATACTTACAGTATAACTTCAAGGCAAGTTTATTTATATACAGTGGAGGAAATAAGTATTTGATCCCCTGCAGATTTGGTAAGTTTGCCCACTTACAAATAAATGAATAGTCTATCATTGTAATGGTAGGTTTATATAAACAATGAGAGAAAGAATATCAAAAAGAAAATCAAGAAATTGACATTATATAAAAGATAAATTGGGAAATAAGTATTTGATCCCCTTGCAACAAACAAGGATTCTGGCTCCCACAGACCGGTTAAATAAGTAATCTTCCTTAAAAATATCAACTTGTTACCTGAATAACAGACACCTGTCCACAGAATCAATCAATCAATCAATCAGATTCCAACCTCTCCACCAGGGGCCAGACTAAAGAGCTCTCTAATGGCACATTTCCACTGCAGCGGGGTAGCCCCGTTTAAGCGTCCTCGCTCAGGCCTCGGGCTGCCTCGCTGGCCGTCCGTGGCGCATTTCCATTACAGTTTAGGACCTGGGGTATTGGTAGGCGGGGCGATCGGCTTTGTTGTTCCGTCGAGCTCCCGCTGGATTTTATCATCCCCAATGAGATGTAGGAACGTCGTCACCTCCTCGGTCGACCACGGTGTGCTTTTCTTTGACGTTGCCATTTTTGTAGTTCCTCCGTTTACAAAAATGCTGTGTATAGAAATGCTGCAAGCTTGCTTCTAGATATATATGCAATGCTAGGGATGATCTCGCGTGCGATCTTGTGACGATTCTCTCTGACCAATCAGCAGTCGTAAGTGTTGACGTCACTAGTTCAGCCCTGGCCCTGGCCTGATAGAACCACGATTTTATGGCGCCGGGAAAAAGTACCCGCTAGCCGGTGCTATGCTATATGGAAAGGCCACCAAAAACTGGCCTGGCCGCTTGAGGACAATTAAGGACGCTTAAACGGGGCTACCCGCTGCAGTGGAAATGCGCCATAAGGACCTCAGGGACAAGACTGTAGACCTGCACCAGGCTGGGATTGGCTACAAGACCATCAGAAAGCAGCTTGATGCGATTATTCAGAAGAATAATGTGTGTGTTTCTAAATGGAAGTAACACAAAATGAGCATCAATCGCCCTCGGTCTGGGGCTACACAACTTGTTAATGATCTCAAGACAGCTGGGAACACAGTCACCAAGAAAATTATTCGTAGCACGCCACACAACACCATAATGGATCAAATCCTGCAGCGCCACAATATCCCCCTGCTCAAGAAGAACATGAAAGGCCCGTCTGAAGTTTGACAATGAACATCTGAGTGATTTAGAGAAGAGAATGTGGTCAGATGAGACCGAAATGTTGATCTTTGGCATCAACTTGAGACGCTGTTTTTGGAGGAAATGAAATGCTGAATATAACTCCAAGAACACCATCCCCACCGTCAAGCATGGAGGTGGAAACATTATGCTTTGGGGGTGTTTCTCTGCTAAGGGGACAGGACGACTTCACTGCATCGAGGAGAGGATGGAAGGGGCCATGCACTGTAAAATCTTGGCCGATAGCCTCCTTTCCTCAGCCAGGACACTGAAGATGGGTCATGGATGGGTCTTCCAACAGGACAATGACCCTGAACATATGGCCAAGGCAACACAGGAGTGGCCAAAAAAGAAGCACATTTAGGTGATGGAGGGGCCTAGCCAGTCTCCGGACTTTAATCCCATAGAAAATCTGTGGAGGGAGCTGAAGCTTCAAGATGCCAAGCATCAGCCTCAAAACCTGAAGGATTTTGAGAGGATCTTCAGAGAGGAGTGGACCAACATCCTTCCTGAGATGTGCACAGACCTGGAGACCAACTACAAGAAGCGTCTGACCTCTGTGTGTCCAACAAGGGTTTCTCCACCAAGTACTAACACGTGTTCTGCAAGGGGATCAAATACTTATTTCCCACAGTTAAATGCAAATAAATGTTTATCTTTTATATAATGTCCATTTCTGGATTGTCTTTTTGATATTCTTACTCTCACTGTTTATATAAACATACCATTACAATTACAGACTAAGTGGGTAAACTTAGAAAATCAGCAGGGGGTAAAATACTTATTTCCTCCACTGTAGCACCTTTCAACACAAGACTATTCAAAGTGCTTTTTAAAAATGAAAGACCTTAAGCGCATTAAGAAATAATAGTGCAGCAGAAACATATTATAAACTGGCATTTAAAAGCCTGACCAGCTAGTAGATAGGTTGGCTTGTTTAGAGGGGGTTTAGCTGGGTTAGCTGGTGGCTGGTTTAGCTGGTGGCTGGTTCAGCTGGTGGCTGGTTCAGCTGGGTTAGCTGGTGGCTGGATTAGCTGGTGGCTGGTTTAGCTGGTTTAGCTGGTGGCTGGTTTAGCTGGTTTAGCTGGCACCAGCTAAACCAGCCACCAGCTAAAACAGCATAGACCAGCATAGTATGCTGGTCTATGCTGGGCTGGTCAGCAGCATCCATCTATCACCAGTTTATGTTTAATAATAGTATTAAATATATCATGCTGGAAGCTTACCAGGATTCCAGGTGACAAGCATACATTGTTTAAATACTGGTATGATTATTTTAACCAGAGAATATAAATAAATATATTACAAAGATTCATTGTGTCATGTATTCTGGTATCTACCAAAATAAAGACATTGTATAGTGTTCATAACAGTATTTTAATTGAATAAATAGCAATAAATAGCTAGTTAATATAATAAAATACACAGTAACAATACCATAATTATACAAATAACAACCAACCTGCAAATCAACCTACACATCAAAATAAATATATTATCTAAAACAGGTGCATTTGAAAGTATTAAAAGTAATACATATAATTCAATATTTAAATGGTACCAAAAACAGTAACACTATGTATGATAAGAAAAAGGCAACAAAGAAAGTGTTTTAAGTTTTTCCTTGTTCGTGTCCATAATGTTTCCCGTTGTGTAGCGTCCAGCCTTTCCCAATCTGGCCTGCATTTCTGTCTGTTGAAGCCACTTCTTGAAGCAAACTGAAAAGAAATGTACAGATATAAGCAGACCCATCCCAGAAGACCTGAGAGAGTTCTGGATCGTTCATCATTTAGCAGGAGATTATACATGTATTTTGGCCCTAAACCATTGAATGCTTTATTTCAATCAGGAAAGACTAGTTTTGTAACAATATATATTTATTGCCAGAAATACACAGATGAATGTAATGGTGTTTGGCGATTAGACCCCGGGGAAACCGAGCCGATAAAACCCCGCCGGGGTCCGGTGGTGGTGGAGCATGAAGGGGATTGATGGAGATCAGTCTGAAGAGGAGTGGTTTAGCTTGACCTTGGATTTGGAGGAACGGGAGGTGGAAGGGGTGGAGGAGGGCTGCGTCGAGTCACCTGAAATGACAACTGTGAGTGAGGACTTGAGCAGCGGCGTTCTGAATCAGCTGCAGCTTTCTAATAGATTTTTTAGTGAGACCTGTGAAGACACCATTACAGTAGTCCAGTCTACTGAAGATAAAAGCATGGACAAGTTTTTCCAAATCCTGCTGTGACATTAGTCTTTCAATCCTAGATATGTTCTTTAGGTGATAGTAGGCTGATTTAGTAACTGTTTTAATGTGACTGTTGAAACTCAGGTCAGAGTCCATGACTACACCTAGATTTCTGGATTTATCTGTTGTTTTGAACATTGCAGACTGAATCTCAGCGCTAACTTTTATACGTTCTGCCTTGGCTCCAAAAACCATTACCTTCGTTTTATCTTTGGTTAATTGGAGAAAGTTCTGACACATTGATTTGTTCAATGCACTTACTCAGGGTTTGAATTGTGTGCAAAGAGACAGTACAAAGACAAGGTGGAATCTGACTTCAAAGGCTGTAACACCCGAAACATGTGGGCTGGACTAAGAACAATGACAGGCTACAAAGGAGCAGCGGGGGGTGCTGCGGGAGTGTCTGCGTGCGCATCTCTCCCAGATGAGCTGAACAATTTTTTTGCTCGCTTCGAGAGCCATGCACAGAAGGACCAGGAGCCCTGTGTGTGTAAATCCTTTAAAAGGGTTAACCCACACAAGGCTCCTGGACCTGATGGCATCCCTGGCCATGTTCTCAGGGTTTGTGCAGTTCAGCTGGCAGGTCCCTGCTGCAGTCTGTAGTCCCCACATGTTTAAAACACTCCACCATCGTTCCTGTCCCCAAAAAGACAAAAATCACCAGCCTCAACGACTTCCGCCCAGTAGCACTCACCTCCATCATTATGAAGTGCTTTGAGCGGTTAGTCAAAACCTTCATCACCTCCTCCCTCCCTGACTCTCTGGACCCCCTGCAGTTTGCCTACAGAGCAAACAGGTCCACCGACGACACCATAGCCCTCACCATCCACACTGCCCTCTCACACCTGGACCAGAGGAACACATATGTGAGAATGCTGTTCATTGATTACAGTTCAGCATTCAATACCATTGTGCCCTCCAAGCTGGTCATCAAGCTCAGAGACCTCGGGCTCAACAGCGCCCTCTGTGACTGGATCCTGAACATCCTGACGGGCAGACCCCAGGCAGTGCGGGTGGGAAACATCACATCCTCCACCCTGATCCTCAACACCGGAGCCCCTCAAAGCTGCGTGCTCAGCCCTCTCCTCTACTCCCTGTTCACTGACGACTGTGTGGCCATACACAGCTCCAACACCATCGTGAAGTTTGCTGACAACACGACCATCATCGGCCAGATCACAGACGGCGACGAGACGGCGTACAGAGAGGAGGTCGAAAACCTGACATCTTGGTGCCAGGATAACAACCTCCATCTCAACATCAGCAAAGCAAAGGAGCTGATTGTGGATTACAAGAAGCAGCAGAGAGAGGGACACGCCCCCATCACCATCAATGGAACTACGGTGGAGAGAGTCAGCAGCTTCAGGTTCCTTGGTGTCCACATCACTGAGGACCTGACATGGACTCTTCACACCACCACCATCACCAAGAAAGCTCGACAGCGGCTCTTCTTCCTCCGCAGGCTGAGGAGGTTCAACATGGATTCCAGGATACTCTGCAACTTCTACAGGTGCACCATAGAGAGGATCCTGACTGGCTGCATCACGGCCTGGTACGGCAGCTGCACCGCCCTTAATCGTAAGGCTTTACAGAGGGTGGTGAAAACTGCAGAGAACATCACCAGGACGGAGCTGCCCTCCATGGAGGACCTTTACTCCCAGCAGCTCATTATAAAAGACCCCCATCACCCCAGCCACAAACTGTTCTGTCTGCTGCCGTCTGGCAGGCGCTACCGCAGCATCCGGACTAAAACCACCAGATTCAGAGACAGTTTCATACCACAGGCATAAGACTATTAAACACCTGAACTGTTGAAACAACATCCATAACATTCATCTGCTACTTAGCAATTATTTATCTATTTATCTAATATATCATTCCAATAACTTGCATATAGACTCTTATTGCACTATTTCACTTTTTTAAACAATTTTTCTTTTTGTATTTACTATTTACTATTACTTGCACTATATTTTCCTGTTTATCTGTGTTATTGTGTTGTACTGTTGGAGAAGCCTGTGACCTAAGAATTTCATCCGCATAACTACTAGTAGATATGTTCGTATGAGAAATAAAGAACCTTGAACCTTGAATTGGTGGTGAAATGGTAAATGTGTGTCATCTGCATAGCTATGGTAACTGATGTAGTTGTTTTTCCTGATCTGAGCCAGTGGTAGCATGTAGATGTTAAAGACAAGAGGCTCCAGGATGGAGCCTTGAGGAACCCCACATGTCATATGTGTCAACTCTGATGTTTAGTTACCTATAGACACGCATTTTTTCCTGTCCTTAAATTAGGATTCAAACCAATTTAGAACTGTTGCCAAAGGTCGGACTAGTCGGTCTAGTAATATGTTGTGGTCAACAGTGTCAAATTCAGCACTAAGATCTAATAATACTAACATTGAAGTTCTGTCACTGTCTGTCTGTCTGCCACTGTCTGTGTTTAAGTGGATGTCAGTGAAGACCAAGAGCAGTCTCAGAGCTGTGGTGTGTTCGAAAGCCTGACTGCAACACATCAAAACCGTTATTCAAATCCTAAGAAATGACTCAGTTTTCAGGGCCTGTGGAAAAACACCTGAGTGAATGGACGTGTTTATGAAGTAGATCTGAGGCCATGCAATGAACATTTTTTTTGAAAAAGCCTGTTGGAATAATATTAGAGAGCAGGAGGAGGATTTCAGATGTTGCATAATATCCTCCAAGTCTTTATCGTTAATCAGATGGAATTGTGTGATGGTGTTTGAATTGATTTTAAGTGGACACAGGGACACCACTGCTTGTCTGATTTTCTGAATTTTGCAGTGAAGAAGGAGGCAAATTCATTGCAGGCCCTGGTGGATAGAAGTTTAGAGGCTACTGACACTGGGGGGTTAGTTAGTCTGTCGACGGTAGCAAACAAGGCACGTGCGTTGTTTTTGGCAATTAATCTCTTTATAGATGTCAATATGAACCTGGAGATTTGTTTTTTGCCACCTGCGTTCAGCTTTTCGACACTCTTTTTTATGTTCTCACGGTCATGGCCTTTCTTCATGGAGATATTTTCTTCCGGGCACTTCCAGAAGTTAGAGAGGGCAAGCGTGTAAGAACATTTCCTTTGTGTTTTCTGATGAATACAGTTTTGTGGTTACCTCTTTTTGAACATTTTTGTGAACAGAAATAGAGCTCTCAAAGAAAACACAGGAATGATCAGAGAGTGCAACATCAGTCACCACAACCTTAGAGATATTCAGACCCTTTGAGATCATTAAGTCCAGAGTGTGCCCCTTATTGTGTGTGGGCTCCGTCACATGCTGAGTCAGTCCATAGTAATCAAGAACACACAACAGTTCTTTAGCCCCTCTGTCCTGGGGGTTGTCAACATGGATGTTAAAATCACCAACAATGACTAGACGGTCAAAGTCAATACACACTATAGACAGCAGTTCAGTAAAGTCATCAAAAAAGCTTGCACAGTATTTGGGTGGTCTATAGATATTTAGGAACAGAGCTCGAGAGGAGCATTTCAGCTGAAGGGCCACATATTCAAAAGAAGCCTCCAAATGAAGCACGAAACAGTCTCATAATTAAGATTCATTGCTGGATGGAGTTTATAAGCATTATTTGTTGAGAGAGGCCCAAAACGCTTTTTGGGGTTTACCCTTTTCTGCAGAGTGTTTTATAGGTTTTAGAGCATGTTAATGGTCTGCAAAGGCTAAAATGCCTCCAGAGGGAGATCCCCACCCCCCCCACTCCTAACAAAAGCCTTTATTTTCTTTCATAACATAGTGAAATCACTATGTAACACTGTATTTGCTAGTGCTACAACACATTGTACGTTATAGGCTAAGGGGCAGGATGAAATCTCTAAGCGGTTGACCAATCACAACAGAGCCAGCCAGCTAACCAATCAGAGCAGACTGGGCTCTGGTTTCAGACAGAGGGTGAAAAGAGGTGCTGCAGCACAGTATGAGAAAAATAAAGAGCTTTTTGGACATTAAAGCATGGAGACATGTCACAGTAGAGACATACTGATATGAACCTGAGAATAAGAATAAAATGTCCTCTTAAAGTACAATAACTCAAGTAAATGTACTTACTTTACCTGAGTGTTTCCATGGTATGCTATTTAAACTTTCACGCAAATATTGTACTTTTAGTCCTCGTACTTTTATTTGACAACATTAGTCACTAGTTTTCTTTGCAGGTTTACATTATTAAGACGACATAAACTAAATATGAAGCAATATTATGGATGAAGATACTCTGCAGTGTAAAACGTTTAAAGTTGATTATACCTATTTATAATCCAGTGATATCATTTATATCATTCTGGAATGCCGACACATAATTATTACTTCTGGTACTTAAGTGGGTTTTGATCCTATTCATTTGAACTCTTACTTGAATCAAATATTGATTACAGGAATACTTGTAAAAGTATTCATACACTGGTGTTTCTACTTTTACTCAAGTAAAAGTTCTGAGTACATCTTCCACCTCTGGTTCCAGCAGTTAGAATTGAACATAATGTTTGTGCCACTGATGAATATCCTGTTACACACGTAAGGAACACAGAGTAGATAATCAGAGACTGCGTGTTAAATCATCTGATAGAGGCTGCAGATGAGATTGAGTGTGAATCACTGTGGAGTGCATGGAGGTGAGGGAGGTGAGGGAGGAACCAGCTGTGACCCGCCCCCCCCCGCCTGCTGCTATAAGACTGAAGGTCTCCTTCAGTCAGTCCACACAGACAGTATGCACTCCTCAAGCTTCTCCTCTCCCACAGCAAACACACTGAAGGTAAGACCCACTTCTACTCTGTTCCCTGAGCTGTGTCTGACAGGTTGTAGTGCCGTCTAGTAGTCGATTCGATTTGTTGTTAGAAATGTAAGCAGTGTGTTCCAGCTCTCTGCATACCGTTCCTTTAATGGAACCAGGAGATGTAAATCCCTAAAAATTATCTGATTTGTATTGTAAATTAATTAGGTTTTGATAAGAGGGAATATGGCATTAAATTACAATTAATTTAGCTGTTATCAAAAGCAATTAATAAGTTCATTAAACCATAAAGTGCATTGTAAATCCTGCTGTATTGAATTAAACTAAACCATTTTTTTGTTTTCACTGGCCAAAATGATTATGGAGGGGAGTCTTTATTGTTTTTGTTGTATTGTTTACTACTAGAAAGTCAGAAAATGTAACTTTTCCATAAATCAAGGTATACAGGCAAAACAGTTTCCAACAATATACAAATGATGAATATATATCTATGGGAATTAAACCGAACAAGACTTTCGAGGTTCTTTGCCTTCATTTCGATTTTCAGATCTTGGTTTTTGATTTGTATTGTGTGTAAATGCTTATGTAAAGCACTATGAGTTGCCTTTGTGTATGAAATGTGCATTATGAATCAAGCAACGGTAAACCATTGCCTGCAAATCCAAAAATGCTGATTAACACAAAGAAAAGTCTCAGAATTGTGCTTTTATTGTTGCCCTACCAAGGGGCATTCCCATCAAATGTGTTAATAATCAGAAATTAATGCAGCCGTAAAGTAAAGCATTTCTTCATCTCTTCGTAAACTTTTTGGACAGTTTGTCTGACAAAACGGGTAATTCAAAAACATTGTTTACAAAACATTGTAAGGACTTCAGCTTTTGGACAAAATGAATCCAGGTCTGGCACACCTGTCTCCTATGATGAGGGGGGTGGGGGATATATTATATAGATCTATTATAAAAGCATCAGTAGAAAATATAAATATCTGGAAAATTAATTGGCAGTTTCAAATTCTGCGTAACGATACAAAGGACATGTTCCGCACTGAGACATCTGCATACTGAGCAAAATATTATCATATTTTGGCCGCAATAAGTTAGTCATACATTTTACTTGTGCATTACGCATGATCTTCCATCTCCTTTGGGGTGCAGGAAAGCATTTAGAAGTTATTATTATCAAATGTAGAGTTAAAAGTGTTTTTGCCTACATGTATTCATCCGTCAGTCAAGATGCAAAGGCATGTGTGCTGGCTTTCCCTTCAACCCCCCCGGACACCAGCACATGAATCTTAATGTTGTGTTATACGCTTTGTGTGTAGGTGTTTAAAGGTGTTTAAAGGTGTTCCTCCTCCTCCTCCTCCTCCTCCTCCTCCTCCTCCTCCTCCTCCTCCTCCTCCTCCTCCTCCTCCTCCTCCTCCTCCTCCTCCTCCTCCTCCTCCTCCTCCTCCTCCTCCTCCTCCTCCTCCTCCTCCTCCTCCTCCTCAGGTGTTGTGTATCTGTCTGGCAGGCTGGCCCCTGGCCTCAGAGGCAGGCCGACTGCGCTGTGGCTCTGATCTGCTCAAGGACCTAATGTTTGTCTGCGGGGATCGTGGAATCTATTTAGGTACATTTATATTCATGTAATATACCTGTTTCACATAAGGACTCATGTCTTTAGTATAGAATGTTCCATAATTCCTGTCTAAACTGTGTTAATGTGGCATTAAAGGTCAGGAGGTCACCAAAATGATTAGGATTATTCCTCTGCAAACTGGTTGTTAACAGATAATGTTTTGCATGGTCCAAAATTGATCTCTAACCTTAAACTGATGTTAGGGACCCTCTATAAAGTGCATGCATAGGAATAATCTCAGATTTTTATTTGAGCTATGAATACTTTATCATACCAACTTTTTGTTGTCTTTCCCTCTTTCCATTGCATTCACAAAACAAGCAATAATGCATCATGGTCCAATAAGCAATGTCGCTGGTATTGTGTTCACACTGCAACCACATGGAGGGAAATACATAAAAAACATAAGCTCTACATTTAACTATACATTTGATGTTGACATAACACAAATGCAGTTTGCTTATATTTTTTCTTCCCAAGATTTTAATAGAGATACAAAAAGATATTAGGACCAAAATGCTATGAAGGTTATTCTAACACGGATAAGGCCATGGTCATCAGTCCATGTGAAAACACTGCAAGTTATCAGCTAAACAACAATAAAAAACACATCCTGCATAATGATAGTCACAACACTGCTCCTCCGTGCTGCAGGCTGTAGCTGCAAACAAGACACACTCTTACTTTTTATGCAATTTCATATCTAATGTTGGATCTATTTCTTGGTCTGATTGCATTGTTCTGTACATTAGTGTTTCATGTAGGCCACACCACAGTGGACCTTTTACCGTGAAGCAGCTTTTATTTCAAATAAAATGTATTATTATTACTAGAATAAAATCTCTCCCATTGGACACAGATACATACCCACAGGCCCTTTCACCTGATTACCTTTATCTCAATTCTGACCAAGGCCAACTTCTTCTTCCTCCTGCTATCAGAGGGGTGGCAATCCACCAAAATGGCAGCGTACTCACAGAACACCGTGCCTCTGTGTGATAGCTACATTGTTAAACACTTGCTATCTGAGAGCTGCACCGCTCCAACCACTTCAAACAGAGAAGGTGTAGACAGAGCAGAGCGCCTCTCAAACCACATTTCTGCAGAACATGACTTATCCTGGGTAATTAGCTAATGCTAGCCTCCTCTGTACCGTGTATGCTAGCATTTGCTACTTACCCAGGATAAGTCATGTTCTGCAGAAATGTGGTACTAAACCAAAGTAGACATGTGCCCTAATGCATTTTAAACTTTATTGCTACCATATTGACAACATGCTCTCCTGGACCAAGACGATGTAGTTCAGTAGTGTCTCTACTGTGACGTGTCTCAATGATTTAATGTTCAAAAAGCTCTTTATTTTTCTCATACTATCTGTGGGGCACCTCTTTTCACCCTCTGTCTGAAACCAGAGCCCAGTCTGCTCTGATTGGTTAGCTGGACGGCTCTCCCACTGGAGGGAAACTTTGATAACCTATATAACACACTACAGGAGAGAGAAAACACCAAAGCAGAATAGAGTGTCCGCTTTTGGGCTATGCGCACCGCCGTATAAATAGAACTTTCTTAGATCGTTTTGGATAAGATTTCAATACCAGTCAAAACCTTAAAGTCGAATACCAATTTCCAGACCTAGTAATTACTATTGCTAGAGAGGATAGACTTTGGTAAGCATGCCAAAGGATAAAAGGTTTCATGAATGGTTTAAATTAAATGACCTCAGTAGGAAGGCTTTAAAGAAAGACAAGAATCTCACGATGAACGTTTCTCTCTCTGCAGGTAGAGGGTCATGGTCCGGTTACGGAGGTCGGCCCAGAGGGAAGGGGATCGTGGAGCAGTGCTGCCGCTCGCCTGGCTGTGGACTCCAGTATCTGGAGACGTACTGCAACAAACCAAAGGGCCAGCAGCCCACCACAGCTCCCCCTGCCACCACCACAGCCCCCCCTGCCACCAGTACAGCCCCCCCTACCACCACCACAGAACCCTCGACCACCACACAGACGGACATGGTACGATCTCTGCTGCTTGAGCTTTACAGTTGAGTCTTGACCTTTGGAGCTAAGGCTGTATGAAATCGTTTGTAAAGGTCACATAGCTTTTCAAACACATCTCATGGTCCTCAGCAGAGTCTGAGATCTTGTGGTTGGCGAGGTTGTTACCCTTGTCTCTGTTCACGAATGGTCTTTGGTAGTGGGGAGTCAGTGCTTGTGTGCAGAAAGATCTAGTCCTAAGATGTAGTGTTCTTCATGGGTTCCTCATGGGTTCCAATTCTTAGACACGGAAGTCCTAGCCAAATCCGAAACAAAGGAATACCAAATCTGAAAGAAGACCAGGCGATAACTGATCTAAGAGAGACACAGCAATCATAGGGGGCATTCTAACCTGTTTAGGGTTTAGAATATTTTGTCCAGCTCTTCTGCTTTCTGAAAAAGGTTGCCTCCGATTTCCACAAGGCAACAACAGTATTCATTTATACCGTGGAGTTATAAAGTTGTGTAACACAAAGGTCGAAATAAATCAAGATGTTACTTCAATTCCAAAAACAAAAATCCATTATAATAATTTCAGTATTTGTGGTAAAACCTAACTCAGCCCCACACAGTCCAAGTTTACTCACTACAGCCGTTCTGTCCTCAAATCAATTCCTCATTCTTATCTTTGTTCTGCAGGCTCAGCAGTTCCAGGCAGTGTTTCAGAGGAGACTCTCTGAGCACCTGGGGGCCCCCAACAGCGCAACAAAGAAGAAAACATCGCCTCCTCCTCGACGGAAAAGCAAAGGTTTATCTTCACGCAGGAGGAAGAAAACAAGCAGCACAACCAGCAGGCCTTCGTCGACCTCCAGGAGCCCGCCCCAAAGAACCACAGCGCTAAAGTCATGACCTCAGAAGAAGTTACTGGTACTGGTACGCTACCTGATGCTCTACTTTAAGTAGTTCTTTACTAAGTAGGGGTGGTTGATAATCACTAACAGAGACTTCAGGGGGGCACAGACGGGAGGTCCTCAGCTCCAGGGGAGACACTCAGAGAGTCCTGACTCCAGCTCTGGGCCAGCTGCTGTCACACTGCCACGTCTGGAATAGCTCTCCTCTGAAAGCTGCTTTCTTGCCTCAATCTATTAAGATTAAGACTACCTTTAATCATTCAGTTCACGCTGGTGTTATTATACAATTACAAACCAAGGCCCGAAAATACACACCAGCTCATGGAGGTGTCAGAGCGAAGGGGCTGCCACTGTTCCAGCGCCCGGGAGCAGTTGGGGGTTTGGTGCCTTGCTCTAGGACACCTCAGCAGTTCCCAGGAGGCTGACTGGTACCTCTCCAGCTACCAGTCCACACCATTTTTATTTGTTGGTCCATACCGAGATTCGTTTCCCAAGCAAAGATCTCCATCCATATTTTTGATCTGATCGGGAGTGAACTTATGACCCTTTTGTCCCCAAGTCAAATCTCTACAAACTGAACTTTGATCCCCAAGTTTAGTCTGTGTTAATCCATGATGGACTTATGGGAAATGGTGTTTGTTAAAGGCTGCTAACTATTACAGAGACAATATCACTTCTCTACTGCAAAGACTTGGTAACTGTCCTATGACCTGAACCTTTTCTTTTTAGGCGTACTCATTATCGATACAGTGATAAATATATTTAGTAATTATGATGCTATATGAATGATTTAGAATTTGGAGTGTGTTTGTGTCCACTTTCAAACTCTGCCTGATGGAAATATATCTTTCTCATTATCCACTGTGTGTGAGTGTGAGTGTGTGTGTATATTTGAATACTTTTATAGCACTTTTAAAACAAAATTACTGTATCTTCACCGTGTGTCTTGGATGCAGACTCATTTTTTTCTGATTTGTATATTATTTTCTGTCTGAAACATACAAGTATTATGTTTTTAATTTTTGTGTTTTCTGTAAAATACTTTTTAACCCATTCATTATTTATTTCACTACCACAACATAAGAGTATAATAAATCTAAAATCATATAAATTCTTTGTGGTGTTATCACTCAATTTGAAATGTTTTAATTTGCATGTTGAGTTCTCCGGTCAACCTTTTGTTTTGACGTTGAGCAGCGATCACAAACAGTTCACTCATTACATTTGATAAGTTATTATCCCTTTCTGAAACCTTTGATTGAGTTGTGAAGGCCGTCTGATTACACGAAGGCTCCTCTACGGTTAGAGTATGAAGCATTATTCTGTGACAAAGTCTCCGTTTTTATTCTAAAGTAAAGTAGTGTGCTTTCGAGGAAATGGTCACGTTTATTAATGAGCAAATGCGGTACCTGGATGTCTTCACCTACCTTACTCACTTGGAGACTTATCTTGCTTCTCTTTATATAGATCAACAATGCGTTCGAAAAGTGAACAAGACACCTTCACTCACCTTTGTAAGCGTTTCACCCATAAGTCTGTACAGCAGATATATGTTGTATAACAGGCACAGAGGATGTTAGAGGGTGAGGGGCCAAGTTCAAGTGCGTTTTTGCTGCTAATTTAAAGGTGGGGTAGGTAAGTTTGAGAAACCGGCTCGAGATACACTTTTTGTTATATTCCATGGAATGCTCTTAACATCCCGATAGCAATGAATATCTTAAGTGCTTTGACAAAAAATCCATAAAGAAAAGTAATCTGGAAGCCGTAGTACTGTAAAAAGCACGACCAATCATTTTAGCCGGCCCAGCTAAAATAACTGGATGGCCCACCTGCCTGTCAGCCTTCCATATGTGCACAAACTTATCTCGTGCCCTCATTGGTCATGTGCGCGTTCGTGTGTGTTGGAGGAGGGGCTCTGTAAGGAAGTGGCAGATTTTTTCCGGCTGTATTTTCAAATTCTAGCGCACTCGAGCTGGTTTCTCCAAAATTACCTACCCCACCTGTTAAGCCCGAGCCTGTTTTTCAGGTCTCAGGCTCGAAAATGACATTCCCAGAACAAATGACCATATCTTCCCTTCTAAAAGGGTTAAATTAATAATCTTTTTTCTCAAAGCAAGGTTGAGTTGGATGTAGATGTGTCATAATCAATATAGATGTTTTTATTTTAAAGTAAATTCAGATTGAACATAGTAACAACATTTAAATTATTGTGTCCGTCCAAAAAAAAAAATTACTTATAATGAAAACCACCCTTGAATGATGAGATGGTAGACTAAAAGCTTTAGGAATCCAAACTATAACATATAATAAGTACCCTGTATCAAGATTGATGCAAAGCAAGTGAAATTTGACCTTTTTAGAGAGATTTAGCACAAAAAAAACACTTCTGGGGTCATTTGGGTGGATTTTACCTATCTCTGGCCCCCCTTGTTCGATTTTGCTGATTTACATCTCTTTCTAACCTTCAGAGCCAATGGAATCAAGGGGAACTCCCACATACTCCTTATTTGGTAATGTGTGTGTGTGAGACTGCCGCATAGCCAAGACCGGAAGCTGCGATAACTCTGGTGGCTACCATTAGCAGCTAACTTGTACTCTCCGATTTGTACATAAAAATAGAATTATGGATTATAAATAAAATAATTATTACCCAGAAACATTATCAACCTATGGATGAACCGATTCAGCCGTGTTTTTTCTGGTTTTAATGCCATTGAACCAGTCTTTTGATCAGATTGACAGCTACGGTGAGAGGATCTCCCGTAAAAGCTACGTAAAGGTACGTGTTGTGATGTCTGAGTTTACTTCCCCTGTCGCGAGTTCGGATCACTTAGTGATGATACCTAAATAATATGTGGAACCTCAGCTTTAATCGGATATATTGTATGTGCAGCTACGATAAGTAATAAGGGTATCTTTTATCTTGAGTGCTGTGCCAAAGTGCGTTAGCATTTTTCGCTCAGGGGTTATTTAGATGCTTCTTATGAGATTTGTGTTTTGTTTTGGTAAAAATTGTTTGTATCGTCAGTTAGCTGAGATTATTCCCGTTAATCTGGTATAGCACATTAATTAATAGGTTTTTAAATATTAAGATCCCCTGAGACACAGTGTCGTGAAAAAGAAAAAAGGACCCGCCAAGGGGGTCCTTGGGGCTTAATGAAGATTGTGACAGCCGTAAAGGGTTATTAAAATGTATATATTAAAAACAAACCCAATACGGAGGATGGTTCAAACACGTTACATGATGCTACTGAGACAGAATAAGAGAGAAATAATTTACGAGCTAAAGACAAATAATAATGTGAATTGATTACATTTTATACCTTTCTGAGCACTTCACAGTATTAGGGGGAGCTTCTCCATGGACAACAATAAAACTGCTGTGGTTCTTTTCAGTTCAGTGGATGAGACACAAGAGCTCGACCATATTCCACTGTTCCCAACATTACTAGCTAAAGGTATCAATGCTAACGAAAGCTAGCTGGCACATATTTAGCTGCTAAATACGTTGGCTTAGTTCTACGGGGGGCATACGCAAACCAATAGAATTGTATGAACACTCTATTAAATAAAGAGAAGGGAGTGAAAATTATGATAAATATAATAACAATAATGATATAATTGAAAATAAAACAAATTGTAATTGTAGTTAAATAACATTGTCTGCTGCATTTATTTTGTCCACTAAAACGTATTGATTTGTAATAAAAAATACATTCAAAAAACAGGAGGGGAAAAAAGCAGGAGCTGAAGCCCCCTTGGGGTCTATCTGTGAATGTGCCGGTTGGAGAACATAGCTGTCAATGCCTTTAAATAAAGGTTACAATCCGAGAAACTGCTTGATTATCTTGGATATCTCTGCTTCCACTGTCAGAGAAGTTTCAAACCTTTACCAGTGGGGTTAATTACTAACCGTCGTAAAATAAAACCTGAAACATCTCTTCAGCTTGTGTTAACCGCAGATCTGTTTACTACAAGAATGTTCAAAACACTGTTTACTTTGCGACAGAGAGGAGGGGAACTGGTAGAATAGGCGCTTTCACACCGGAGTACTTTTCCCAGGAATAGTTTCGATAGTTCCTGGGATTTTGCGTTCACACCAAAAAGATCTGGAACTAGAACTTAGTTCTCGGGAACCGTTTCACCCATTTTCAGTCCCTGCTAGAGAGGTGGTACTTTCCTGGGGAGGAAAAGGTTCCAATTTCTGATTGGCAGGGCGAATTGCAAACCACGCCCCGTAAAACTCCGAAAAGTTTTGTGAAGCCGACGTTTTATTTGCTTGCATTAGCATTATTAGCATTAGCCCACCAACGGAGAGAGACTGACTTATGGCAACACAAAATAAAACGTGGGAGCGGTGGAGTGATGAGGAGGTGTCGGAGCTTCTGGTGATTTACCCGGGACTTCGGGTGGCGATTTACTGCCACCCGAAGTTGTTTGCGGCCTGCCAGTAAACCCAAAGCAGAAGAAGAAGAAGTGACGTCAGCGGCTTCATTTGCGTAATCCTCCCTCAGGGATTTATTCCGGCGTGAACGCAATCTACTAGATAGTTCAGGAATGAAAGAGTTCCAGGGAACTAAGTTCTGGGAACTATTCCCGGGAAAAGTACTTGGTGTGAAAGCGCCTAATGCTTATGGTAGAAGTTATTTACTGGTTTTAGGACTCATTCCTGCAACACCCTATGTCCTCTTGCATTCCTTGGGTGTCACCATCTGGGTGTTTTCCTATTTTATTTTGAAAAGTATTCACCCCCCTGAGTTATGGCTGTTGTTACTTCCTGTCTTTGTGTTTCCCTCCTGTTTGATTACCTGATTGTGTTCACCTGGTGCCCCTGTGTTTCTCTTCCCTCCCCAGCTGTGTCTTGTCCTTGTGATTAGTCTTGCATGTTCTGGTTTTGAATGTTTAATGTTCTTTTTTGCATTGCTTGCCTTGCCTTGCCCAGCTGTTTATACCTGGAACAGTAATATAATATAATAAAGGACTTTTCTTTAAAGTTACTTTGGTCTCCTGCACTTTGGTTCTACCTGCTCTGGGTTGCAGTCGAATAGTCAAAAAAATCAGATCCTATCGTCTATTCCTATTGTCTATTCCTTGACCTCTGTGTGAAACGTCACAGGGTTTAGGAATAGTGGATAGGAGAATTTCAAAAGGATTTAGGAGAAGAGACTGCGGTGCTTTGAGAATCCGACTGCACTTTCACTATCCGACGTATTTCAAGCCAGTCTCACGGCATTTCACCCTTTTTTCGTGTCACACAGAACGATTTTAAAAGCAATGTATTTATATTGGTAGTATGTTTCATGCCTGCACCACGTCTTTTTGTCCGGTCGGGTCTTGGAAGACTGGTAGCTGTGTGGTTCATAAAAACATTTTCTTACTCAATATCAAGCCACGATTATTGTTTTTATTTAAAATTCTATATTGTTGGACTTTTTTTGCCGTCCATGAGGAAAATAAATGGGGCTCTATTCTATTCTATAATCTCGGGCCTCAGCTATGGTTGAAGCTCGGTGATTGGATGTTTTAGCCGCAATGCACGTTGGGATATGGTGTTTATGCGATATGAAATCCGAAACATTTATAAAAGAAAGAAAATAATACTTTATTCCGAGGGTACTTTCTTTTCTCTTTGGAAGTCATCACATAACGGCATTGCAATACACGGTTCGGCTGCATTTCATATTACACATCTGCCGTAGTTCTTTATTTATAGAGCCCTGATTAGAAGACTTCTGGACAAACTGGAAGAACTGCCACCGAAACTGATTACGTGACGTGGATCATAAATATATCAGCAACCACCTAGTGGTTAAAGCACGTTATTTAATTTTTTTGTTGAATATGTTATATTTGTATAGGGGGAAAGTAGAAGGTCAATGATAGAAATATAGAATATAAAAAATCAAGAAGATACTGTCAGTGATCTCTACAATCAAACAGTTTAGTGCCGGATGTACAAAGATATTAATAGGAGGATGTGCAAAACAGAAAAACGAATTCACCTTTATTTAAACATTAACCTCTTAAGCACCGCCCCCCGATACCGGGGGGAAAACGCGTCATCTGAGGAAACAGTGTCTGA